GTGATTTTCTATCCCTTGGCCACCCAGGCCAGATACAGCTTAGGCTCTGGCTCCAACTGCGGCATTTCTCTTCTCTTCCCCACTCCCAGTCCTAAGTTTAGAAGGTAAAAGGGGGCACTCGTCAAGCTGTCCCCACTCACCAGCTTCCCTGCCCCCAATACTCCACTCTCCCTGTTCCCAGCCCCATACCCCCATCCTCTTGGAGTTCAAATTCCTGCTCTGCACTTCTAAGCTGTGTGACCTTGGGCAAGTTACTTAATATTTCTGGGCTTTAACTTGCTCATCTGTAACATGCAGGCAATTTGTAACCTCGTGTTGTCTACTCCAGAGAAAGTGACAGATATAAAGGCCTAGCACATAGTATGAATTTTTGGCATGTTTTATAAGATATCTAATATAGTAAACATGCAACCATATTGGGAGTATGTGTTCAAAACTGTATTGATGGAGAGTGAGCAAACTTTTTTTCTGAGATACTGTGTGGTGGTTAAATTTACAAGTTTTGGCATTAGAGACACTTGGGTTCAAATTATAACTTTTGCTATGTGACTTTAGGTAAGTCACTACCCTCAGTTTATTAGTAAAATGATGATGATAATGAAGCCTACATTACAGGGCTGGCATAAAGATAAAGCGAGATAATTTATGCAAAGAGCTTAACACTGTAAACAGGATAAGTATTACCTATTATTATTGTTGTTGTCATAGTTGTTGTCTCTGCTATTTAATTTTCAGGGCTCTGGTGTGTGAGGAGGGAGCTTGGGAAACAGCTGTTGCTGTCTCCTCTGTTCGTATTTTAGCTTGGTAGGAACAGCCTCTCTGTAATTTAGCTCTGTGGAGGTAGCTCCACTTTAACCCAAGTGGCCCAGGCCCTATCTGCTTAGATTAAAGATTCACATCACTCAATTCCAAACTGGTTCAATCATATAGTTTATCTCCCTCCATCCGAAAGCATCCTTCAAGTCCTCAAGGGAGAAAAACGGCAAAATAAAAAGATGCATAACCTCACTAGGAATCAGATAAATGCAAAGTAAAACCAACATGAAGTACCATTTTACATCCAGCCATCTGACAATACCAAGGGTTGGCAAGGAGATGGAGCAAGGGAACTCTCAGACAACTGATGGGAATGTAAACTGGCACAACCTTTTTGTACAACAGTTTGGCAATATCTAGTAAAATTGAAGATGCTTATGCCCTATGACTCAGTAATTCCACTCCCAAGTTTGGACCTACAGAAATTCTCTCACATATGCACAAGGAAATGTGTTGTTAGCTGCCATTGAGTTGGCCCCTGACTCATGGTGACCCCATGCACAACAAAAACAAAACGAAACACTGCCAGGTCCTGCACCATCCCCATGACCGGATACAGATCAGACTGTTGTGATCCACAGGGTTTTCATTTACTGATTTTCAGAAGTAGACCACCAGGTCTTTCTCCTGTGTAAGCATAATCCAAATTCTCAGGTGCCTGACATGAAAAGATGTCTGAACTTATGTCTGAGCCAAACTCCATTTTGATTATGAGTTTAACTTCTGCTTTAAGAATGCAGCTTCTATATTCTCACCTCTAAAACTGTGATAATACTTTCCCAACCCGCTTCATTCAGTAGAAGAAATTATTTTCAAAAATTTGAAACCTGAAATGTGCTACATATGATATAAAGGATTATTACAATCATTTGTCTCTTTTTTTGTATTCTAATGGACCTAATAAAGTTATTTGTTTGCAAAAAACAAAAAAGAATGCAGCTTCTGACCCCTGTAACTTTCCACTGTACACTGCAAACCAACTTTTAAAAAAAAATGTTGTTATGCTCGCTCAAGGATAAGGCAACTGTTTTTGTGACCATTGCATAATATGTTCCAGGAAGAAGGTTCTAGGAGAAATGCTAGCATGGATGTATATCACAAAAGCACAAAATGAGCTTAAGAAATCCCAAGTTCAGAAATAACTTAGCTGAGGTTAAGCAAGATATGGTTGTGGTCATGTACTTGTTTCATCATATAAAAACGCCTTGCACCATCTGAGCTTTGGAGCACTTTGTGGTTTTTATTCTGTGCTGCCCAATTTGCCAACTGTATCTCCTTCAATAAAACTCTTTGCTTTTACTTTTAACAGACTCAGAGATTTTTCTCTATGACATTTCTTGGTGTCAGAAGTGGGATCCAAACGTGCATTATCTCCAGCAACCCCCGGGATGCTGAGGACTTGGTCTACAGTACCAGCAGAGCCATTTGGCTCTCTGTTTCCATGAACTTCTTGGGAGTAACCTCAAGTAAATAACCTTTGGGATTTAAGCTCCACTTCCTTGCATAGAAGCTCTCTTAGTTTTAATTGAGGAGTTGCCTTATTATTATTATTATTGACCTAGGTTTGGTGCACTAATTGGCTTGGTGGAAATCATTACAAGGAATCTCAGAGTCTTCTTCCCCCTTTAGCAATTTGTCTTAACTCTGAGAAACCAAAAGTAACGACCCACTTTTGAATTCTGAATTCTTTCCATGCACATTTGTTTCTTCTTGCAAGAAAATGGGCAATGCCAATCGAAGAATGAAGAGTTCTCTTCTGGGACTCCTGCTCATTATATGAATAAGCACTCTAGTCCATAACATGTTCATTATTAAGTAACTGGCATAACCCCACTAGGGACAGTTTAGAACATTAGTAGCCACTTTGGGAGTCCTTCTGCCTTTTGATTTTTCTGTGCAGTAAGTTAGAGAGCCTTGTTTGTATTTGGATTTTTGTTTGAACTCCCAAACAACAGTTTGTAAATCAATAGCCACTTTAGGGTAATTTCCAACTTGAGACACTAATATATTTACGGTCTAAAATAAGAGACTAGGTCTCTAGCCGGCAGAGTCAATTAGGTTCAAAAAGAATAAAACCAGGTTTTGTATGGTTGTTACAAAGGAATCCCTGAGTTTTTAAGCTGCAAAAAAATGTGGGCATGGGTTCAAGCACCTTGAAAGCCTCTAGGGCACTTGCCAGTGACAGAAAGATACCCGTGAAAGAATAAGTTGGGACATGAGATGGGCGAGAGCATTAGGCTGCCCACCAAACCCAAACCAAACCCACTGCCAACTCATATCGACCTTATAGACAGAGTAGAACTGTCCCATAGGGTTTCCAAGCCTGTAAATATTGACAGAAGCAGACTGCCCCATCTTTCTCCTGTGAACAATATGTATCGATATTGTTAAATGGGCACCTAATTTGCAGTGTAAACTTTCACTAAAAATACAATAAAAAAAAAAGACACAGGTTGTTGTGTATGTGTGTTACACATAAACGGTTCTAAACCATACATAATGTTTTGCAGCTTACTCTTGGTGATCTATGCACATCATATCTGTCGCATCTAGTCATCCATTTAGCAGGTATTTATTAAGTGATGTGCACTATTCTAGGCACAGAAGCAAATGAGATGGACAGCCTTGATCTTCATGGAACGTCCTCTGTTGGGACATTCAGACAATAAACACACAAACAAATAAGTAATATAATTTCAGGCAGTGCTTAGTAATATGATGCAAATAAAGTAGGGGATTGGTTGGAGGAGGGCACTATTTTTACTATTGCATAGTAGTTCATCGTATGGATTTATCACAGTTTGGGGAGTGACTTTCAAACTTTTCTGCTTGCTTCCTGGAGTAAGAAATACAGTCGTCCCACGGTATTCACCGGGAATTGGTTCCAGGACACCCCCGCAGATACCAAAATCCAGGGATGCTCAAGTTCCTTACATAAAATGGCATAGTATTTGCATATAACCTATAGACATCCTCCCCTATACTTTAAATCATTTCTAGATTACTTATAATATCTAACACAATGTAAATGCTATGTAAATAGTTGTTACATGGTATTGTTTAGGGAATAATAACAAGAAAAAAAAAAGTATGCACATGTTCAATACAGATGCAACCATCATAGGCCTAACTACATAGTACACGTCAACAACAAGGTAACAATTTTTTAGAAAATATTTTCAATCCGCGGTTTGGTTGAATCCGCAATGTGGAACCCGTGGATGTGGAGGGTCGACTGTACATTTTACACTGTGATCCAGAACTCATACATAGAAACATACTGAAACACAAAACCAAAAGACATATACACAACTTTTCATGAACAGAAAGTTTCACAAACTAATACTTATCCTTACTAAGGATGATACACTAAAATTTTCTATTCAGTTCTATTTCACTAAAAAAGGGGGGGTGGATTATGACCTGCTAAATTGATTTCATTGTCCACAAACAGATTGTGACTTCAGTTTGAAAAACTCTGCTTTACGTAACAAATCCTTTACTGAGATTTATACAGATTGTTCATAATTCTTCCCTATTACAAATAATGCTACAGTGAGCTGCTTTATAGTCATTACATGACTATTTCTGAGAGCACAATCCCTGGTTGTGTAATTGCCATTCCACTTAAAACTCTGATAAACTGCAGCCAGCATGCTGGAAAACGGAACTCTAATCCTGGATCCGTCGCCATCATGATGTGTAAACTTTGGGCAAGTCCCTGTACCTCTGTGGGCATCGGTTTCCCCGTCACTCAACCTGCTGATCTCTATACCCTGGAGTCCATCCTAAATTGAAAGCAGATGCCCCACCCCCTGACTCAGCTCGCGCAGGACTTCTTACCAAGCACTTCTCCCCCCTTTCCACTCCCTGATCCTCCAGGGCAAGCCAGGGAGGAGGAAAAGGGCAGGCCTGGGCCGGAGGGCGTGGTGCAGGGTGGTACAGGGGGAGGGCAGAGGGAGGCCAGCCCCCTAGTAGGAAATGAGACAGAGTAGCAATAACACTTTATAAACCTGACGCCTTCTTCTTCCTCTTCTCTCCTGGCCTCCTTCCATCCTCCTCTGCTCAGCTTCTGCTCCTCCCAGACAGTCTTCACTCTTCTCTCCCCTAGGCTGCAGCTAGCCGAGCCCTCAGCCTGCCTGAGCCTGGAGACTAAGTTGAGTCAGGAACCTATCAGCCCCAGGATGTTGACAACACTGCTGCCACTGCTGTTCCTGCCCGGCTGGGCCCTTTGTAGCCAGAAAGCCTCCGATGGTGAGTAGGGGGGCACATCTCCTGCCTTGTGATGGTTCTGGGAAATCTCAGCCTATCTGGGTCCATGATCGAGACCCAAGGAAAGTTTATCCCAGAGTCTGTGTCTATAGCTGGCTGGGTCTCTCTATAGGACAGTCAGGTTCCTGGAGGCTGGTGTGTGTCCCAAAGCCAAAGTGAGGAGATACAGCTCAGACCCTGGGAAAGGGGAGATGGATGAAGCTGGGGGGAAACAGGATGAGTGGAAAAATGGAAAACGGATGAGTAGACAAGGTGAGGAATCAGTCTGGAGGAGATGGGAGAGATGGGATGAAGTCTGGAGAGGGGGAGATGGGAGTGATAGTGGATAGGGGTGAGTTTAGGGAAGATGGGGAGACTCAGAGATGAGAATAGAGATAGAGGGAATGGGGAGACAGTGGGAGAACTGATGGAAGACTTGGGGGAAAGACGGGCTGATATAGGTGAGGTAGAAGGGGAGACTAGGGAAGATGAAGAAAGACTGGGTGCAGCTGGGGAGGTGAAACTGGGGGGACAAAGGGGTATAGGCTATGAAAGAACTCACAGGGGAGCAGGCTGCCTGAAGTGACCTCATTTGAGTGGAGAAGGGGAGTTACTGCCCCTCATTGCAATTGCACAGGAGCCTCCTTTCCCCTCTCCCACAATCCCTGTAGCTTCAGGCTTCCCTGTAGAGAGGGAGCAAATAATAACCAATATTTATTGTGTTCTCACTATGGTTAATGCATCTATTGACTCATTTTATCCCCACAAAGCTCCCACAAGGTAGGTAATATTATCCGGACGCTGGTTTGTGTCCCAAAGCCAAGGTGAAGAGATACAGTTCAGACCCTGGGAAAGGGAAGATGGATGAAGCTGGGGGAAAACAGGAAGAGTGGAAAAATGGGAAAGGGACGGATAGACAAAGTGAGGAATCAGTCTGGAAGACAGCGGAGAAAAAACAGGATGAAGTCTGGAGAAAGGGAAATGGGGGTGATGGTAGGTAGGGGTGAGTTTAGGTAACATTATCATCTGCGTTTTACAGAGGAAAAGACTGGGTCACAGAGCAGTTAAGAACCTTGTCTAGAATTACCCACACAGATACACTTATTCACACCTGCAGGCTCAGAGCACAACTTCTCAAATGCAAACATGGACAAGATACACTCACACAGACTTGCAACCCAGACCCATGTCCTCCTCAAACATTCTATGGGAACCAACTCCATGCCAGGCCCTTTGCTGGTGTGTGAGGCAGAGATAACCAGACATGGTTCCATAACCTGGAGGAGCCCAGTGTAGCCTGTGTGTGGATGGGGTGCATGGAGGAGACAGTCACTTAGACTCCATCTCTGAAACAGACCCACTGTGTTTAGGAGTGCAAAAAGGAGCAGCATCAGGAAAGCTTCTCCAAGGAGAAGATTGAGCTGGGTTTTGAAGTATGACTAGATGTCTGATGGGCAGAAAAAGGCAGGCAGAGCTATTCACATGTCAGCCAAAAGGCAACATGAGAAACCTGAAGTAGTTTGGTATATCTAAGCATGGGGAAGAGACCAGAAAAGGCAGCTGAGGTCAAATTACTGGCAGCCTTGAATGCCATGCTGAAGACTGGATCTGATCCTGTGGACAGATATTCCATAGGGTAGCAGTGAAGCAGAGTGGCTAAGAGTGCTAGATTCAGGCTGCCTACCTTAAACTTTGGCTCTGCGATTTAGCATCTTAGCCTCAGTTTCCCATATAGACTGGAGTTAATAACAGTAGCCACTGCATTAAATTATTGGGAGGGAGGCACAAATAATAATGTATGCAGAGGATTGAACACAGTGTCCAGGTCATAATAAGCACTTAATAGATATTAGCTATTATTATTATTGATGGAGAAAGGAACACTGGAGGACTTTAAGCAGAAGGACACGAGTCACATGGAGGTCAGATTAACCCGTTGCCGTGGAGTCCGACCCACAGCGACCCTCTAGGACAGAGGAGAACCGTCCCATAGGGTTTCCAAGGAGCGCCTGGTGGATTCTAACTGCCGACCTTTTGGTTAACAGCAGTAGCTCTTAACTACTACGCCACCAGGGTTTCCAGGAGGTCAGATTAGAAGGGTTGAAACTGAAGGCCATGGGATGAGGGAAAAAGTTAATACCCCAGTTCAGTGAGAACTGATGGGACCTGTACGAGCGCAGTGGCAACGGAGATAGAAAAAAAGGTGATGGAATTGTGATTTTATTTTAGGTCAGGGTTTGTGGACCAAGCAGAAATGCGAGGGGCTGGGGACAATCGGTTCCTTCACCCACTGGCTGTATTACCCTGGGGCAAGTGGCTTCTGCTCTTCGGGCCTCAGTTTCCTCATCTGTAAACTGAGGATAATAATCCCTGTCCTGCCGTCTTGGCAAGGTTACTGTAGGCTTCAAATGGGAGCAAGGGTGGGAGGGCACTTTGTAGTTTGTAAAGATCTGAGAGGTGGACGCCCAGCCTCTGGGCAAGGGGTTATTATCTCTGGCTGCTCGCCGCCCATTCCCACGCTGGACCAGGCCCCAACACGCTGATTCCTACCCTCAGGCCCGCGGAGCCTCCACATTCTCCAGTTCGCCTACTTCCGCGACCCCCTTCACGTGCGGTACTGGGGCAATGCGTCGCTGCGTGGGCATCCAACGCACGTGTTGGAAGGCAATGGCACCAACGTCACGATCCTCCAGCTGCAGCCCTTAGAGGAGCCAGAGAGCTGGGCGCGTACTGAGCGAGGCCTGAAGCGCTACCTGCAAGATTTCCACGGCCTCTTGCGGCTGGTGCACTTGGAACGCAGCTTGGCCTGTGAGTTGCCGGCGCGCTGGGGTGTGGCCTCCGGCGGGCCCTGGGCGGTGCTGGTAAACGGGGTGCGGCCTTCTGGAAGGGACCGGTTGTCCCCGGGCAGGGTCTTCTGGATGTACTTGTCACTGTGGGAGTGACCTTTGGGGGCAGGGCTGCTCTGAGGAGCCCAGTGGTGCCTGGGCTCTTGGGCGCCGGCGCTTGCTTGCTGGCTGCTGGATGAGAGCGCTAGGCTAGAGTGGAGCAGATGTGCTAGGACTATGTCTAGCTGATGAGGTCCTCCCTCAGGCCCTCTTGCTACTGGGGTAAGCTGTTGGGGTAGTCCCTGGACGGGAGGCCCCCAGCAGACCAGCCTGCGTCTTTACCCAACCTGATTCCCGAAAGCTCACTGAAGACTGCACACCTCTAACCTTACAGTCCTCCAATTCCTTTCCCTTGTGGACCCGTCCTTCCCTTCAGACACACTCCCTCCAGCACTTTACCCTCAACCCTCCAGCCACTTCTCACCGAAGCTGAGTACTTCGCTGTAGTGCCTGACGCCTTCTCTCACAACCTCTAACCCCTTTTCCTCAAAGACCCCAATTTCTTCTCCCTCCCTTCATAGCCCTCCCTGCAACTCCTTTACCTCATAGTCCCCGTTTTCTTCATAATTCCTAAACCCTCCTTCCAGCCCCCCTTTCTTGTCTCCTCAGAGCCCGTAAAGGCTTCTCCCCACAATTCCCTGATCCAGACTCTCCTCTCCTCACAGCCACTGACTCTCAGCCCACAACCCCCTGCCACGTTCTCTTAGGGTATTGTGGTCATGCCATATACCTGGCACCCTCTTCACACAGCCCCTGACCCTGTACTCCCCATCCACAGTTCCTCTGATAATTCGCTGCTTCCTGGGCTGTGAGCTGCCTCCTGAGGGCTCCAAAGCCCACATCTTCTTCGAGGTGACTGTGAATGGGAGCTCCTTTGCAAGTTTCCAGCCAGAGTCAGCCTCATGGGTGGCTCCGTCCCAGACACGCTCCACAGTGGCCGCCTACACCCTGAAGGAGCTCAATACCCACAATCGTACTCGGTATGAACTGCGGGAGTTCCTGCAGGACACCTGTGTGGAGTATGTGCAGGAACATACCGTGAACAACTTAAAAGGTATGATGGGACAGGGTGGGGCTGTGTTTCGGGGAGGTGGCAGGTTTTAGGCAAAAGGATGGATACCTTGAGCAACAGAAGGCCCAGGGCTGAGAGTTTGGGACAGCACAGCTTAAGACGCTTGGTGAAATGGGCAGAAATCCCTTGGGGTTTGACTCAAACCATGGACTCCTTGGGGGCATGTTCTTCAGGCTAATTCTCTGCATATTCTGCAGGGAGCCAAACAGGACGCTCCTACACTTCGCTGGTCCTGGGCATCTTGGTGGGCAGCTTCATCATCACCGGTGTGGCTGTGGGCATCTTCCTGTGCACAGGTGGACGGCGGTGTTAATTACTCTCCAGCCCCCTCTGAGAAAGGGTTGGACTGATGGGGGCCGGCAAGAGACTGTCTCAGCTCACTACAAAGCCAGATTCCCCAGTTGGGAAACAATATCCCGGAAGGTTTGGAGTAGGAGCTCCTTTTCTTCTCCCAGCTCATCCACCATGGGATTTGATGTAGGGGAGAGGCTAGGTGGGCAGAGTATTTAGTTTACTAAGAACCTAAGAACTTGCATACTCTGCTGAATTAGTCTGAAAAGTGAATGTTTATCTGTCTTTGTGGAAAACAGATGATGGAGTTGGGGCAGGAGGGTCTATGGCCCATCCTTCAAAACCAGAGAAAATCACTTGAGGCCTTCAAAACACAACCAAAGAAAACAAACCATTCATAATCAAAGTAAACAACATGCAACGCTTCCAGATGTGTCAGACTTGGAAGGGACACTGATGTAGTAGGGGTAAGCTGAGGAATGGTGGCAGTGTAAAATCCAAGTAATATGGGAGCAAGAAGTTATTAATCAATCAATTTTATTTATAATAATATTAATAAATTCCTTACCATGTATAAGGCATTGTTATTTTCACTAATTTGCAAACCTTCTGGAAAAGTAGCCTATACCCTTTCCTTTTACTACCTCATCTGCCACGTACTCTTCAACCCACTGCAGTCTGACGAGAATCTCTGTAAACTGCTCCAAGATCACTTCTAATTGTCAAACTCTCATCTGCTGTGTTATCTGCAATATTTAATTTTATAGACTAGAACCTTCTTTTTACCTTAACTTTTGAAATACAATTCGTCTAATTTTTTTTATGTCATTTTACTTAATACACCCTGGAAATGTTGACTTTCTTAGAAATTCTATTTTTTTACTACTTTTTTTCCTGGGTGACCTATTCAATTCCATCTTAAATGAATTCTACCCTGTCCTCTGTATGTTTACATCACTTGTTTAATATTCAAAGTCCTGGATGGGAGCATCCAAATGACCAAGCCTAGACTATGTTGCCTTTGCCTTAGCAAAGGGTGGAAGAAAAGGGAAGCTTTGGGTACCTTTGGCTTCCCTGTGGGAGGTGACACCCTGTCTTCCATTAAGACTCACACAGAGGAAGAGGTTTTAGTTGCTGGCAACCAAAACAAACAAACAAACAAACAAATGCTTACTACAGCTCTCACCATCAATTAATTTACTCATTAAGTGTTTATCAGTAACCTCCATGCACTCCAAGGCATTATGCTACGTACTTTGGAAGGTATAAAGATGATTAAGACATAGTCCTTCTCAAGGAGTTCATTGTTTACTTGGGAAGATAAAAACATGTACAAATATAAACAGTACAAGGCAGATGTCCTAAAAACCGGAAGTTAAATATGCTATGGTGTGATTTACTGTTGTAGCTATCATTTATATACTGCTTTATAGTTTTTGGAATTATTTAACTTGCATGATACCATTTAACACTTGCTGAGGTCTTGTAAGACAGATATTCTCACTTTATATTAGGAAACACACTTAGAATAAATGAAGAAAGAAAGTGGCAGAGCCAGGATTCAAACCCAGGCCTTCCTGTTCTAGGGTTTATGCTGTTTTCCTCTACTAAAGCTGAGGGAATCAGAGCAATCTGCAAAAAGAAGGTGGGATTTGCAGATGGGTAAAATATGACCGTACACAGATAGGAACGATAGAACAGTTTAAATAAAGACAGAGAGTTAGGAAAAAGTAGAGTAAATCTTAGGAAGAGTAACTAGTTCAGTGTGATTGGAGAATAGGGGAATGGTGGAAAATGAGACTGGAAAGGTAGGAATGGTGGACAATGAGATTAGAAAGGCTTCATTGTATTGGACCTCTAAGGCCTAGTGAAGGAGTTTGTTCTTTAGCTGGTAACGAGGTTGGTGGACAGAAAGCTGCTACAGGCTTTTTTCCCCTTTCAGGTGCATTGTTAAAAGGAGGCTTCAGGTAGATTGAGGCCCACTGACCTCATGCTTAAGGGTCTAGCTTGGATATCACCTAGATCAAGGCCAGACTAGGTTTTATTCCAAGCTGGGGAGCAAAAGGGAAAGGATAAGATGGAAAGAAGCCACTCTGGAGAAGAGTGGAATCTCAGAGTATGAGTCAGATATACTCAGGCTTTGAGATGTTATGTTACTTCCTTTCATCAATGCTGACACTGCAGTAGTTCAGGCCTTTACCAGTTCTAACTGGGACTACTAGAATCACTTCCTAACTTACCCTTTTCTAGCCCCTTCACAGATTTGCCATCAGCATGCTGATTATAAAACATGCCAATCTTATGCCCAGAATTCTTCAGTTCTTCCACTGTCCAAAGGATAAAATCCAAATTCCTTAGTATGGAGTTTAAGGCACTCCACAATCCAGCACCAACCTGTCTTTTCCCTAGGTTCATCTTCAACCCCTGCTACTTTCTGAAGCTCCTTCTAGCTCCCCAAACCACCCTTACTTTCTCAAAGAGACCATGTCCTTTCTGGTCATATACCCTTTCATATCATGTTCTTTCCTCTCCCTGGCACTCGTATTCATCTTTTGAAACCTAGCTCAAGTGTCATGGTCTCTGTGAGGCCAACCATAATTTTTCCATACATTGTTATTTTTCCCCTCCTCTGTGCTCCCAAAGTGTGTTTTAAAGTCCTAATTGTAACACCGTCACCCTCTAATCATTTGTGTCTTCTCTCCTGGAATGTGAGTTCTCCAAAAGGCAGAAATGGTATCACTTAGCCCAGGACTGATACAAAGTAGCTGCTAAATAGAAATGGAATGAATGAGCATTGCCGGGAATCCCTCTCATCCTATGCTAAGTTCAGTAGTAGGTATTCAACAAATTTGTTTGACAGAATGAATATATGAGTGAATGAAAATGACCTGAGTTGTAGTTCTGATTCTGCCACCATCTAGCTGTGTGACCTTGTGCAATTCACTTCACCTCACTGATTCTGCTTTCTCATCTATAAAATGGAAATAGAAATGTATCCACTCTTTACTTCATATTACTGCTGTAAGGATAACATAAGATAATGGATATGAGAACAATTTATAAACTGCAAAACATTGTACATATGCAAGGGATAATTGTGGTTATTAAAAAGCAATAGCTAAAAAAAAAAGCAGGATAGACATCTAAGATACAGCTAGTGGTCTCTTCCCATCCAGAGTAAAGCAAATTAGAGAAAACCAAAGACTCAAGGGGGCAATTAGTCCAAAGGACTAACAGACCACATGCACCACAGCCTACATGACCCTGAGACCAGAAGAATTAGATGGCATCTGGCTACCACTACCAACCACTCTGGGATCACAACAGAAGGCCCTGGACAGAGCAGGAGAAAAATGTAGAACAAAAAATCAAATTCATAAAAAAAGACCAGACTTACTAGCCTGATAGAGACTGAAGGAACCTCCAAGAGTATGGCCCTAAGATACCCCTCTGACTTGGAACTGCAGCCATTCCCAGAAACCACCTTCCAACCAAGCAATAGACAGGCCTATAAAATAAACAATAACATCCCCTCCCCCCCAAAAAAGTGCTCTGTAGAACTAACAATTATACAGACCGAAAGGGCAACATTTGCCCAAAAGTAAAGATAAAGCAGGAAGGGGTAGGAAAACCAGACGAAAGGAAATGGGGAACCCAGGGCGGAAATCAGAGTGTTGACAGTGTGCAGATTGCAACCAAGGTCATGGAACACTTTGTGTACAATTTGTTGAATGAGCAACTAATTTCCTCTAAACTTACACCTAAAACTCAATAAAATATTTTTAAAAAAGAAAAACAGCAGTAGCTCTGGAGTAGATTCTAATAAGTTAAGATGTATATTGTAAGCCTCAGCACAATCACTAAGAAAATAAATAAATTATATAGTTAGAAATAATTTAAGGAGTTAAAACGGTCACTAGAATACATCCACTAAATACAAAAGAAGGCAGTAACGGATGAACAGAGGAACAAAAAAACATGAGACATACAGAAAACCAAAAGCGAAATAGCAGATGTAAGTCCGACCATTTGATTAATAATATTAAATGTCAGTGGATTCAACAATCAAATCAAAAGGCAGAGATTGTCAGACTGGATTAAAGAAACAAGATACAACTTTATGCTGTCTGTAGGAGACACACTTTAGATTCAAAGATACAAATAGGTTGAAAGTAAAAGGATGGAAAAAGATATAGTAAGCAAAGAGCAACAATAAAACATATGCAAGGGCTATACAAATATCATACAAAATATATTTTAAGACAAAAAAAGTTATGAGAGAGAATGAAGGACATTTTATAATGATAAAAGGGTCAATCAGGAAAATGTAACAATTATAAACGTATATGCACAGAGAGAACGAAGGACATTTTAAAATGATAAAAGGGTCAATCAGGAAAATGTAACAATTATAAACTTATATGCACCTAACAATGAACCCAAGAAATACATGAAACAAAAACTGCCAAAATTGATGTGAGAAATACACAATTTAACAATAATAGTTGGAGACTTAATTCCCACTTTCAATAATGGCAGAATATCAATAACAACGTAGAAGACTTGAATAACACTATAAACCAACTAGACCTAACACACATCTATGGAACACATCATCCAACAACAGCAGAATGAATATTCTTAAGCATACCTGGACCACTTTCAAGAATAGGCTGTGAAACAAGTCTCAATCAATAATTTAAAAGGATTGATGCCATTAGAAGTATGGTTCTCTGATCACAGTGAAATTAAAGTGGAAATAAACAACAGAAGGAACTTTGAGAAATTCACAAATATGTATGTAAAGAACACACACCTATTCATATATATAATAAAGCACATGGGGGGCATGGACACAGTCATGGCTACCTCCCAGACATAACCAAACATCTCTCTCTTGGTCATCTAGTGCTGCCATAATAGAAATACCGCAAGTGGATGGCTTTAACAAAAAGAAATTTATTCTCTCACAGTCTGGGAGGCTAGAAGTCCAAATTCAGAGCACCAGCTCTAAGGGAAGGC